GTGGACTGGCTGAAGTGATGGATTAAGTCAAATTGTTGTATAGTTCTTGGCCTCTTTTCTTACCAGAAAATAATCTCAGAATCTTGCTGCTATTGCATTCTGTGACTTGAGCTATACCAATGGATAATATGCTGACTTGACGGTTAGTTTACTGATTGATCATAGCAGTGAGGTAAAATTGGGCCTGCTTGGGTTCCTACTATTTTAAGAAATGGTGTATGTGTTAACTAATGGCAGTACCCTGCCAGAACCCCACACTCCTTCCATTACTTAGTAATTACAGAAGACGTAAATTCATGCTTCCACACTATATCTATTTGTTTCTCTTCTGAAGATTATTCCTTTGGTTTGTTTAAATTTGCAATGATTCTTATTAGCTGTCTGCTTAATGTTTTCAGAGTTTTGAGATTGAAATTGTGGAAATGGTTTTGGATTCCTCACCATGATATTCATTATAATAAACAATACTAATTAAACACAGTATATAGTCACTTAAATGCCATTTCATTTGTTCTCACAAAAAACACCTCAGGAAAATGCTACCTCCTTTTTACAGATGCAAAAATCTGAGGCTAAGAGAAGTCCAGTAACTTGCACACAGTATATGAGTGGCTGAGCGAGGACTCAATTCTAAATCTGAGGTCATCAAAACTCCATGTGCTGCATCTTGTTGCTATGTCCCAATTGCAAATTGCTTTTCCGCCCATCAAGCAAAGACTTTAGGACATGGGAAAGAAGTCACTTAAATACACACAGTGGATACGCAGATCACAGAAGCATAAAGTATTATGGCTGTAAAAGGTCCTAGTAGTTGGATAGTCTAGTCTTTTGCATTAAAAAATGCAACCATGACGTTAGAACCTCAAAAGAGAATAAGAGATATTCTTTCAAGGTGTGGAAACTTTGCTTTTCCTAGTGATTCCTCCAGACTAAGAATTGCTCATGCCTTTTGTATAGACTGGGGGTTCCCAGAAGTGGCCCCAGTTTAGTATCACCTGTTGAGTCTTTGTGACTGTTTACCTCTAGGTCTCGTCTCAAACCACCTGGATCAGATACCTGGTTTGGGCACCCGCAATTTTCAGTCCTTTCCAGGTGATTCAGATGTGCATACAGGTTTGAGATATACTGCTATATAGACATCATTCACAACTGAAAAGATCTGGAGACTCTAAATAACCTGACCCACATCAGATCAGTCAGTACTATGCTTATGCGCACAATTGTTAGGCACAGAGAATGTCATAGCTCTTGAAGTAGAAGAATATTTTAGTGACATATTCGGGGAGATTCCTGGTGAACTAAGTGAAGGCCATGGCTCCTATCAATTGAGCGATAGAATACTTTTCATTTAGTAAGTGGCTGAAATGCAGACCTCAAATCCTGACAACACATCAGAGCTACGTGGGGAGATATTTCAAATCAAGATTCCAGCTCCTATCTCAGACCCAGAGCATCAGAAACTGTGTCTGGCTAATGCTCTTTCAAATGATTCTTTATGCAGTTGATCCAGGAAGTCCCAAACACATGTATGTTTGTGAACTGCTGGCTTATGATGGCTCATACATTATCGCACAGAGCAGGAAAACTTAGGAAATGCATTGAAAGCATTTTGGTGGGGGGGGGGGAGAGCTGTTTGATGAAATTCCAATTGTATGAACAGGGCCCAGAAACCAGAATTGTTCAAAAACATCTCTGGTGATTCTAGGTCAAGAGACCCAGGAACCAGGCTTTTTAATAACACTGACAAAAGGCAGCTGATGTTGGAGAGTTTCTTTTAAAAAATATCTCAAACTAAATCAAATGAATAAATATATATTAACCAAGAGTTTAAAAATAACTAAATTTCCTAGATGCATTCAATCTGGCTTACTTAAATTATGCTCCCTATTGTATTGTCATTTGATTGACTGTGTGCCTTCGCTGCCTCCCTGAAATGTTTGCATCAATAAAAATTGTTTAGATTGTCATCATAAAAACATGGGTAGTATAGACAAATCTAAAATATTTAAAAATAATGCCCAATATATGATTGGTTTTCTGCAGACAATTAAGGGCTCAGCAAGTAGTGAGCATGTGAATTGCAAAGGATTTAGGTGAAGAACTAAAGGGAACAAGGCATTAAAGGTGGAAGTTTAGTTAATTGAGTGTTTTGCTGTATTCCAAGCACTGGAGGAGGTTCTTTACACATATTAGTTTAAATAATCAGTTTTATGCTTCAAATATCTATTCAGAGAAATAAGAGGGAAATCTGTTTGGAGTATTTACCTCCAAAAATTATTTTGAGATGGACACTGAAGTTTCATTGGCAAATGCATGCATACATCGATTTAGATTTCAGACGAAAGTGTAGTGCTAGAAGAGACCTTATAAACAACAAAAGTGCAGAGAGGTGCAGTGGATTTCTCAAAATCACGGTATGTTGAACTAATAACCCAGCCTGGCTTTATTCATATACCTGGTTTATCAGACCATCTGCTGTTAACTGCTTAGAACATGGATACATTCAATATGAATTACAGAGAGGGAGCGCACCTTGGGTAGTAGTGGCCCATTTGTAAAATGCTACAAAATCTTTAGATGAGTGACATCCAGAAAAACAAAACAAAACAGTATCATCTTAATTGGCAGCTGTTTGTAAGACAAAGAGTGCAGGTAGGGAGAAAAGATAGTATTTTTCTCTCCATACATAGTTTGGTAATAAGCATGTGCCCTTCACAGTGCTTGCACTCTATGATCTCCTTAAACACTAATCATCTTTCCTGTTAGAAACAGTTGTTTGTGTTAACCTGTGAGTATGTTAACATGTTCTAAATCCTTTATGATCTTTCTTGAAATGTTATTCCTTTTGGAGTCTTGGAATGCGATGGCTAGAAGCACATAAAATACCTTTCTTTGCATTCAGGCAGCATACTCACAAATGAAAAATATAAAATATCATCTCTAATTGGTACTAACAAATGGGAACTGTTACCACACTTAAAAAAATATTTTGCATGTCATCTAATGCAATTTGATTAATTCCACAAATATTTGTTGAGATCCTTCTCTGTGAGGCATGTGCTTATCTTTTAGATCCTGAAGTTTATTATTAATATATTTAATAGTTAGATTATAATTTAAGAAGTTCCCCTAAATGAGATTAAAGTTCAGGGGAACTCAAAGATATATTTAAGCACAAAGTTGTAATGTAAATACCTAAATTAAATCTTTTAGTAATAATTAATTCATGCAAAGACATTTTCAAGGTTAATACCTTAAAACTCATGGAATCTAGTTTGAAAATAGGCAAGCAAAAAGATAGCAATAATATAATTTCCTATACTTCACATATTTAACATCTGATTGGAGGCAAGAATTTAAAGGCTCAGCAGATAATTCCTAAATACTCGGTCACTTTATACCTCAAATGCTCTGAGCTTTCTAAGCTTTTACAACAGAAAATATTTTGCACATTCTAGAATTACCAGGATTTATGTAGTAAATATAAACATCTTAAGCAGATATTGGTTTCCCACTCAGATAATTTTTTTCCAATTTCTACTTCATATTGTAAAATTTATGGCTGTCATGAAATATGACTGTCATGTCTTTTTATTTTTTCAGGGTGTAATACTGCTGGATATGGAAAATTCGGTATATATTCTTACTAATAAGGCCTATAATAAATAATATTTACATATTCTTGCTAGTCAGGCCTATTATTATAATATTTAAATAATCAGAACATTGAAGGTAATTGATTTTTGATATTTTAAAAATAAACTTTTTAAGTGGTCCATTCTTTTTTTATGTCTATAATTTATCTCTTGGCATAATTGTTTTTATAACCAGCAGCAAGTCAATTTTGTCAAATCAATATCATTCACTGTGAGACATCCTTAAAAAAATTGCAATCACAGGATTTGTTAAGAGAGTGACTGAGAATCATACACCATCTTGAGGGTTGCATTTCAGTTAAAATGTTGTGAAATCCTGTTTCCTTCCATTAAAGCTCAACTCCTAAAATATTTAAACCAGAAAGAATGCTAATAAGTCTATGTTTTATTTACTGTATGTTTTTTAAAAACTCAAAGTGCTTCCCCATAGAGTGCATCATTCTATAGGCCCTAATAATACCAATAAGGCATTCACATTTTAAGAAATTAAGATATACTTCTATAATAAAATGAAAATATGAAAAAGAACAGAAGATTAAGGGATATAGGCCCTTAAATTCTAACCTTGGCTATGTCATTAGCTCTGTGTGTGTGTGTGTGTGTGTGTGTGTGTGTGTGTGTATGAGTGAACATATGTCTTGAATAAATATTATCTCTGGGTCTAGTTAACTCATAAGTATTGGGTTGTCAGAAAAGTCATGATGTATTTTTTCTATGTTTTTCGTTGCAAAAATGCGTCATGACTTTTCCGACAACCCAATAGAATGAAGGATTGTTGTGTAAACATTGTTATAATTCCTTTAAGCCCTAAAACTTACAGACAGATGGATCCAGAATGATAGTTCAGGCGACTCATTTATTCTGGCACTTCAAATTCAGAAAACTTATTCTGGGACTTGGTCATGGGTTTTCAATATACAGGTGTGCCAGTTAGTCTCTTAGTATGATTGCCTTGGCTTGGGTCATTTTATCAGCATGTGATTATAGTCACAGTCTAAGAAAGAGCCCAGATTCACAGTAGACAATGGAGGCAATGCCCTCAGTTCTCAGTTCTCTGAACCCATTGCAGCAAAAGTGGGCTGTCATCACATTGAGTGCTTTTCTGCTTTGGAAGAGAACAGGTCCCTTCTACACTTGTTAGCAATGCATCCGTCCTCTTGTAGGCCAAAAAGATAACAAAGGAAACGTGAATGTATGAATATGACTGTTTTAACATGACAAAATGAATGTGGGTGGAGATCTTTCCTTATTTAGGAGGGCACCCACACAGACATACTATTTCTTGAGTCAATGTGATTAGAAGATGATATACAGGGAATTTACACTGGATTAAATGAGTAAACAAAGTTTGCAGGTCAGAAACGATTGGGGAAACTTGCTACCTTATTTTTATCACATCAGCAGTGATTCACAGAAACTCTACTGAGAGTAGCATATGCACAAACACGGACTCAGAGGAAGCTTTTCTGTATCTCTCCACTTAACTGCATGCTCCTTCAAGGCAGCGATAGATAGTGTCTTGTTTATCTGTATCTCAGGTTAGGCCACTGCCCGACACAGCACATCTGTATCATGAGTAAAGCAATGATCCTCCATCCAATGCATGAATCTTCCTGTTTTCACATCCTACTGCTTGAGAGAGTTCATTCCCTCACGGGGCAGTTTGGACTGTTGGACATATCACTTTCTTACTGAATTGAAATTTGCCTCTTTCTGTCTTATTTGACTGAGATGATTGTGGATTTAAGTTGTGCTGACGTTAACATGTAATAGAACTATTAGAATAAGTCACAAATAGATCCAAACAAATCTCATCAGAACATTCTCATTGTTTGGATGGGTTTCTGGCCTGCATGGAATACACTCACTCTAGACTGTTCTGTGGGCATGCTTCCCTTGAAGAATCCTTAGCATTCCATCTTTTCTCACCTACTGTTCTCTGCTTATATCCAGCCCTTAACCTTATGGAGGAGAAATGCTGTATAGCAACTGCAAGTTCAGGGATGAATTATCCAAAAACTTAATGTAATGAAAAGCTTAGTTTGGTTCTGTAAAGCCCTGAGGGCCATGGTCATATGTGCTATCATATAAATAATTACTAAAGTGTAATAAAAAACATCATCGCCAGTGAGGACCACTAGGCTAGAACTATCACTTCATTGGAACAAACAAAAACTGTCCCATGATGTTAAATGCCATTCATTTATTCATTCAACAAATATTCATTGAAATCTTATAATCCTCACTTTATTATGCTTCATATCTTATATTTATCACCTTGGTAATCATTTTATTTAGGTTCTTTTAAATGATAGGACAAACCTTTTCAAATGTCATGTCTATGTTGGACTATATGGTAAAATGAAACTTAAATATTGGGGCTAGAGAAAAAAATATTTTAAATTGATGTTATTAAAAATTGCACATCAATGTGCCATTTTGTATATATGGTTTATATCTATACATATCCTTCCCTTTGTTATATGAGGAAATTATTTGTTTTATTATAATAATAAGTGTTATCAGGATCAAAAAGATAACAGTCTTAGATTTTCTAAAGTGTTATTAGGATTATTTCCCAGGTACTAAAAAACCCAACAAAATGGATGTTTAAAAATACTTGAAAAATTTCACTTAGGATCATGAGAACAAGTGGTCACATTTGCACATCAGCTTAATGAAAATAAATGAGAAGTCTGATCGCTTCCTGAATAGAACAGTTCTGCTTCACTATCTTTCTTATTCACTACATGAGTAATTCTGTCTTCACAAATGTGGTAAACAGGTAAAAAACATATCAAATAGAAAGTTATACTTTGTTCAACTTGGAAGTCAAAGAGGTTAGAATTCAATTACAAATGCTTTCCCTTTGTTACATTATGCAAACTTGGGACTAGAGATTATATTTAGTGAAAATATTTCATATTTTAAGATGTCCATCTTTATTCCCCAAATAGATTAAACAGATGATCAATGTAGAAACAACAATTGTATCACAAACTTACATTACAGACAACTTCAAAAATGTTTACAAATGATAACGAAGAATAAATTATTTTTCAGTGCACATATTAGGTATATTCAGAATAATTCAAAACCAAATGGAGTGATTGCTAATGCTGAGCTCTTAAAAATCTCCATCAAATTATGTACGTTACCCGAGAGAGTGATAAAAATTATAACACAAAAACAGAATGTTGTCTCTTTTCTCACCCTTAAATTTTGGATGAAATCTCATCAAAATAATTTACCAAGTGTGCAAATGATGGAAAACTCTAATTCCAAAACCATTTCTCTAAATTACCAACAGATTTATATTCTTGATGCCTTTTCACATGATCACAAGCCAAGCATGCATGTGATTCCCAAAATCGTGGAAGATTAACTGTGAAATCTTTCCTCCAGTTAAAGTAGCTAAGGTATAACTTATTGTTTTTGTCAACTTCCTTCAGATACTTTGCTAGCTCACTGGGAGAGTTATAATCTTCGACATGAATGAATGAATCTGCTGGAATATAATTTTCATAGTTTTCCCTAGATGGCCCCAGAACTACAGGTACAGAGCCAGCCAGAAAAGCATTGTAGAGCTTTTCGGTGATGTAATCTTTGTGGATTGAGTTTTCAAAGGAAAGGTAAAATTTGCAAGTAGATATGGTAGGAATCAAATTTTTATCATTCACATACTCTCCAAATGCTTGCCCATAGGTATGGATTTCAATGCTTTTGCTTAGCTCATTGTAATACTTGACCCTGGCATGCTCAGGGTTCCAGTTACTTACAACCCAGCACACTAACTTCTCTTTGCTTGGCACTTCAAACACAAAGGAGTTTGTGCTCACCGTCAAGAAGCCATAAGGCACTTGGATATCTGAGTCACGGCGATAAGTCAGAGTCAGGTTGAACAGGTGCTCAATGCCATCCTTTTGGGGCGTGTGAGTTGGCGATTCCAAATTCATCCAAATCCATTTCTGGAAGGGTGGCCTGGCCTGCTGAGGTAAATTAGTCAGATCCCAACTGATGTCCCGGTGATGGATCAGAACTGCGTGAGATTTGTTGTACAGAGATCGGTCCGTTGTGAGATGGCATCCTTGGATGTTGAACATTGCGTGGCAGGAGGTAAGGTCAAAGGTCTGCCCGAATGGCCACACCCAAATCAGGATAGTAGTTTCATTAAAATAATCAGTTTTCGTGGTAAAGAAATTTTTCATTTTTAGCATTGAGCTGGTTGACTCCACTGAACTGAAGATCCAGTTGTTGGTGGGCTTGATGTAAATGAGAAGACATGCCATGAAGCAGCCCAGGATAATGCAGACGATTAAAAATGGGCGGAGAATTCCTTTGGATGCTGATGTCATAATTTTTTCTGTGATACAGAAAGAGAAAGATAAAGGGATAGGTAGGGGTAGGGATGAAAAATTAATCATAAATGTAATTTGAGATAAATAAGTAGTACATCCTAAAATACAACTGATCACAAAATCAACTCAATTTTCCTTTTCAATGTTATCAAACCATTGAGAGAAACAAGAGTTTTCGCTTTAGCCAAGAAATTGCTTTTAAAAGGAAGTTAACTCTAAAAGGTACAAGTGAACCAAAATTTACTATACATGTACCAGCATATCTTCAGCCAAGTTAGTTTTTTTTTTCAATGCCATCCTTATCTATTATATTTTTATTTGCTTGTGGAAAACTGCACTACAAAGACTGTCATCACCAAAGCTATAACTGAAAGTTTTAATGTTTTGAAAACATATCCAAATCATAAGCATTTCCCAGTTGTTGTAATCGCTTATTTACCAATGGACTTTTTGACATTGTAATGTAACTTTGCAGTTCAGATGCAAGTCAATGAAAAAACAAAAACTTTTTAAAAGAAAAGTTATGTTTTTTTTTTGTTATAAGATTATCTTCACTTTTAAAAATACATCAGGAAAGTATTCCTGTAAAAAACAGCAACTCTTGATCTGAGATCTGTTTTTTATTGTTTTTTAGTAAGAAGACATCGAAGCAAAAATTTGATAAAACCCCTCATTATTTTACTTTTTAATATTTATTTTTTCTTATAATTTTCTTTGTTTACATTTAATAATCTGTTAGCATACTCCGTATCTACTAGGATGTGGTAATCAAATGTTCTATCGGAATTAGAACAACATCCTCACTTATGTGGTATTTGAATTATATTTCATAGAGAACAATATTGACCTTGTGAATTTAAGTAGAATGTGTCATGGTGTGGAATTAAACTCTGGTCGTCCACAGAAGGTGAAAGCATTAACACAAGACTACAAAGTGGGAGATCGAGAAAAGGTTTTATTAAAGTTAGGAAAAGAGAAATACTGGAAAACTCCTTTGCCAGGGCAGAATCTGATACACAGCTGCACCTAATTTCAGGTTAGCTCTTTCTTATATAGGAAAGGGGGAATCAATCAGGCAGGTCTGAGTGCTGACATCCCTTTCTGGGTTTTGGTCTGTTTGAAGACGATGTTATCTCTGGACTCCTCCTTGGCCATCGAGGCCTGGGACTATGCATCACCAGTAAATACTGCAAGGGAGTTGTAAATTGCATTCCAGTAACCCGATGCCTGAGGATTAAGAAATTGCTCTTTTCCGGTTAGGATATTGTTAATTAATGAGGTATGGGTATCCTTGAGAAAGGGAACAAAGAGAGTTCTTCAGTTAATCAGTGAGGGGAGAAACAAAGAGAAAACAGACAAATATCAGGATGGATCAAACTGCAAACAAGCTAAGTTTAATTACAGGTGGCTAGATAGGTAGTAGTGTGGTGAGTTAAACTGCAAACTAACAGTCTAATTACATTTTTGATTTACTGAATTTCACCCTTACAGAGAGCAGCTAGAAAAGATCAGTCTAGGGCCTTGGCTTTTTAATTTTATAAATACAAGGATCTTCAATTCCATCCATGTTGTCGCAAATGGCACTGTTTCATCTTTTCTTATGGCAGAGTAGTATTCCATTGTGTACATATACCACATCTTCTTTATCCAATCATCTATCAAAGAACACTTTGGTTTTTTTCCAAGTCTCGGGCATAGTAAATAAAGCTGCAAGAATATCGGAGCACATATATGTTTATGGATAAATGTTTTTAGATTTTTTTCATAGATACCCAGGAGAGGGATTGCTGGGTCATATGGTAATTCTATTCTTAATTTTTTGAGGTATCTCCACACTGCCTTCCATAGCAGCTGTACCAATCTGTATGTCTTCTTTAGAAAAATGACTATTCAGGTCATCAGCCCATTTTTTAATTGGATTGTTTGTTTTTTTGTTGTTGAGTTGTATGAGTTCCTTATATATTTTGGGTATTAGCCCCTTATTGAAGGTGTTGTTTGCAAAAATCTTCTCCCATTTGGTTGGTTGCCTCTTTGTTTTGTTGATGGTTTCTTTTGATGTGCAGAAGCTTTTTAGTTTGATATAATCCTATTCATTTATTTTAGCTTTTACTTCTCTTGCCTCTGAGGTCAAATTCATAAAATCCTCTTTGAACCGAAGGTTCATAAGTTTAGTACCTATGTTTTCTCCTATGCAGTTTATTGTTTCAGGTCTTATGTTTAGGTCTTTGATCTATTTTGAGTTAATTTTGGTGCACCATATATTGAAGAGGCTATCTTTTCTCCATTGTATGTTTCTGGCAACTTTGTTGAAAATTATCGGTTCATATTTATGTAGGTTTCTTTCTTGTTTTTTAATTCTGTTCCATTGGTCTGTGTGTCTGTTTTTCTGCCAATATCATACTGTTTTGAGTATTGTTGTTCTGTAGTACAAGCTGAAGTCAGGGGATGTGATACCTCCAGCATTCTTCTTTTTTTCTTAGGATTGCTTTGGCTATTTGAGGTCTTTTGTGGTTCCACAGATTGGTGCAGCCACTGTGGAAGGCAGTGTGAAGGTTCTTCAAAAAATTGATACTAGAATTACCATATGACCCAACAATCCCTCTCCTGGGTATATACCCCAAAAATCTGAAAACATTTATCTGTAAAAATGTATGTGCTCCGATGTTCATCGCAGCTTTATTTACAGTGGCCAAGACATGGAAATGGCCAAAGTGTCCTTTAATAGGTGATTAGATAAAGAAGATGTAGTATATATACACATGGAATACTATTCTGCCATAAGAAAACATGAAATAGTGCCATTTACAACAACATGGCTGGATCTTGAGATTATTATGCTAAGCAATAAAAGTTAGAAAAAGTCTGTCTGATATCAGTCTCACTTGATATGTGGGATATCAAACTGAAAGCAACAAAGGAACAATAGAAACAAATAAAGAAACAAAAACTCATAGACATTGACAATAATTGAGTGGTTACCAGAGGGTAAGTGGGAAGGGAGGGTAGTAGATGAGGGTAAAAGGGATCAAATATATGGTGTTGGAAGGAGAACTGACTCTGGGTGGTGAACAACAATGTGATACATAGATGATATATTACAGAATTGTACACCTGAAACCTATGTAACTTTACTAACCATTGTCTCTCCAATACACTTTAATTTTAAAAACAAAAAAACAAACAAAAAAATTCGAGTATCTTTAAGGTTTATCCTCTTTCACATTTATACCTCCTTATAAATACCAACACAAAGATAAAATATATAATGTTTGCAAAACTATCTCAACCAAATTCTTACTGATTCTCTGACACTCATTATTCTCACTAAAATAATATCCACTATTAATTTCTGATTCATTAAAGTATTTTAAAATCTTGATCAAAACTAGTATGGAAATATTAGATGTTTCATTCCAGAAAAAGGGAGAAATTGCCCACCATTTCATTACCTAAATTTATGTGGACATTTAAAAATATCATTTTTATGTATGTAATTTTTCATACAACATATGAGATTCTCTATGTAGTAAAGCTTGATTTTGTGAGTCCAAAGATTCTGCACATTATACTCTGAACTCACTCCTAGAGCAGAATTATTGGAATTAAAGACTGAGGCTTACTGTCAAAGTAAGTTTCAGTCCTGCACAGTCAATAACAAAAGAAAAACAAAAAAGTATATATTATATATGTCCAGGAAGTATTAATTAATCACTGACCTACAGGTAAAATCAGGAAGGGATATGATGGAAATCTCAACTATTTAGAACTAAATGATACTGATGGTACTACATGTCAAATTTTGTCGTATATGGTTAAAATGGCACTTAGAAGGATTTTTAGAGATTTGTAGTTTTGGGGAAATTAATTAACAAATTGGTCAACACAACAAGCTGAACAACAAATAATGGTACAAAACTAAAGAAATAAGAAGTAAGGAATTAAGTTATGGTTAGAAATCATTGATATAGAGAGCAGAAATTTGAAATGATTAATGTCACATAACTGTGTGTGTGGTGATGGTTGTTTAAATAAACTTATCATGGTAATCATTTCACAATACATACATATATCAAATTATTATACAGTACACCTTAAACTAATGCAATGTTGCATGTCAATTATAATTTAATAATACTGGAAAAAATACTAAGATAAACTTCAGAGAAGGATAATTAAGATAATAAATTCAAATTAAATATCAAAAAAGAGTAAATATGTATTGATTAAACATAGAAGAAGCTAGAAATCACTTTTGAGTAATTTTACAGAAATTAATTTGAAAAAGTGATGAAATTTCTGCAGAAATAGAAAAATGCTAATTTTTTATCAGAAACTGTGATTAAACAAATAGCAGTTAAAGAAATGGTATTCATAAATGATAACTAAAAACAAACACTAGACCTAGATTAATTTGTAGGCATAATATCAACAATTCAATTAAGCCAGGGTACTACTGTCACTTAAAAATATCATTCTAGAAAACAGAAAAATAAGTAAAGGAGCTTAACTCATTATATGAAGCCAATTATTATCTTGTTGCCAAAAGAAGAAAAGTTAAAAAAAAATTATGTTTCACTTAGGAACACAAATGCAAAAATACAAAATTTTAGCACTGAAGAATATTGAAAATACATCATGATGCAATTCAAGAGTAGATTTATGCAAGTTTAGTTACATTGGACCCTACTTCATACATTTAACTAGTCAAATCATCTCTCAGTTCTTTCTAGACACTGGGATCCATAGACTGAGAAAACTTACTACAAGGATCTCCTTTTTAGTGGAGTAATATTAAACTTTGGTATATATGATTTCACTAAGCACTGCAGTGTTGGTTTGTTTGTTTTTTTTTTCCTTTGAGAGCAATGTTTAATGGTTTTTAGGAGTGTTCTCATTGAGTTTCCCTATCTCCTTTTGAATTGAAATGCAATGGCAAAAACTATCTAAATAAATTATGTTAATTCAGTTTAATCAGTTTACAACTTTAGTAGCCACCAGTTAACAA